ACAGTACCATAATTCCTGGGTACTAACTCTAATTCCTACACCCTATAAGGACCCTTAACCCTCAACCTTTACAAAGGGTCACACAGGATTTCTAGTATCCACCATATCAACCCAACAAAAGGTTTAGGGTTTAGGGAAAGAGCGGTGTCCGTTTCGTGGATCCTTTTCAAACGCTTTTTGATTCCCTGAAACTTAGCGTCAGAATCCCAACCTGGTCAGGGTCATGGGTTTGTATAGGGGATTATATAGGGGACTACTATAGGGCTTATTACGGGGGATACTAGGAGTTTGGACTATAGGTCATATGGGGTCCTCTTTCTATGGAAACACCCTTATTCGCTAAAGCCCTACGTTGGGTTCAATGTCTACCCTAAGGGTCCATGTACCGACAGGTGCTGACCATAAACCCGGAATCAAACCCCCGTAGGCCCGAAACCCTAATCAAAACATCAGTCCCCCGTCCAAAAACCCTTTTCAAGCGCAGAACAAACCCCCCAAGGTTGAAATGCTAGTTTTGAGAGGCAGTCCAGCCCGGAAATGCAAGGGGCGGGTACTATCCCCAAACCCCAAACTCTGTATAACTTCCCTAAACCCTTTAAAAGGACCTTTAGTACGCTCCCTCATTAGGGGATAGTCCCCATACTACAAGGTAACCCGGCCCTCAAAGCATCTCAAGTCTCCCTCGAAGGCCTTGCTATTCTGGGTTGCTGTTAAGGAACTTAACTTAAGTTACTAAATTGAGGAAACCATATTAAGTAATATATATATATATACATACCCATTGCAGCAACCCCGTATTTCGTTGATGTCCTGCTTGGGCTCAAGGCATGCCTAGACAGGGTATCCATGAGATCGCACGCAAGTGGTTCCTGATCTATCTCCTGGCGTATTAGGCAGCAAAGGTCATAGGACGTTATGTAGGAAATCAGTGGGGAGCTTCTTAGGGGGTCTGCATAGATCCTCTCCGGATAGCAACTTTCAACAAATGGGTCTCTTTCTGGCATTGCAGTCCGGATTCAAGTCCTTGCAACTGGCACAAGGCTTAATTTCAGTTCAAAACATACCCAGCGATCACAAGGCTTAATTTCGGTTCAAAGCATACCCAGAGATCGCTGGAGGTTCTGGGTCCTAGAACTTTGCGAAGAAAGAGAACACCTTTAAGAAGACTTGCTCAGCTATGCACATGGTTTGAAATTGGGGTTAAAGGTTTGCGGCAGAAGTTCCAGAATCTGGCGCTGGCACCAGCTTCGACGGAGACAGGGACTGGCTTTAGGGTTTAGGGTTTAGGGACTGTCAGTTGCCATGGGTCAGGGCCCTAGCGACTGCCATGGCGAATTATGCGGCTGCTCCGGATCCAGCTCTGCACCGGCTCCTAAGGAGTTTCTGGGCGACTGTTGATGGATTACTACAAGGGGTAAGGGTGGCTTACAGGTGGCCAGGAGGCCAATGACGGAATACGGAGTGGATGGTGACTGGATGATATATGATGATTTGGGAACTGCTAAGAGGATCGAGTCTAGGCCTCCACATTTCATGTTCAATTTTCGGTCTAGGCATTCTTTGCATGAACGCGCCCTAACCCCCAAAACCCTACAGAGAGATCCAGGTTGGTGGATGCGGCCCAGACCTGTGTGGGTGGTCAGGGCTTTGCGCCAGTTGCGGACAAATTGGAGGCTTGCCTGCCCAGTGGGTAACCTTCAGTATTTCTGGCTCGATACTTCACAGCCGAACATGTACCACAAGTCTTAACCTTGGAAGGCCATAGATATCGGACAACTAAGGAGGCAAGTTCAACTTGCTTCCAAGAGGACAGCACCGCACACAGAAGAGCCACGCTGTGCCCAGATGATTCATGAATGTCTTTTTGAATAAGAAATGGTCTTCCTGGGCTGGTCTCAAAACTCAAAACTGTACCAAGAATAACCTTCAAAACTAAACCTTAGCTCGTGATTTCCCCTACAGCAACAGTTACCCCCGAACCAACAGGAGTTATAACCGCAACTTAGTAGGAGCCTTCTGAAAAAAGACAGCTACTGCAAGGGGAAAGACCCACGCTAAACCCTAAACCAGGTACGTGGATGATTCTTCTAGGCATCTACTTCGCGCCATTCCGTTGATGACCGCGCTGGGCAGACCAGGGTTGTGGCGTACGTCGCCCGTGGATTTGCTACCTGCTGCCCGGGAGCAACTCTGGGAAATGTCGACGGAAGCTAGGTCAGCACAGAAGTTTGGTATCGACTTTTGCGGGAAAACAAAACTGCATGGGTAAGAAGACGGTTCTGGAATTTCGCAATGTCCATCAAGGAAGTGGCCACATTCGACATCTTCCTCTCTCACACATGGCAGACTTCTGGTCTGCGGAAGTACTTTTCCCTACTGCTGCAGTCGAGCTGGCAGGCGGTCAAGGGTTCAGGTAGTGTGGCCAGCCTGTGCTGAAGCGTTGGCCGCTGAATAGTTGATAGCCGCAGCGGGGCGAGTAAGGGTACAGACGCACTAGAAGCCAGACTGCGTCAACAACTATATGGGTATATACAAAAACTTATATTTGCGAGCCTTTCCAAGTGATCCCTATGATGCCAAACACGGATCTTCTTGTCGTCGCTACACATCCCTACCTTTGTCCTGAGACGCCTCCATGTAGCTACATACATGCTGCTGTATGGTTTGAGAGTCGAGGGCTCTATAGCTGTAGGTTTGAACATGATGTTTAAGTCTTATTGCCCTTAATTAATCCCTATGTATCCCTGTATAGCCACAAAAAACATTTTTGAGGTATCGGTAGTTTACAGTTCGTCACCACAGCCCCATGAGAAACGTCCAGGAAGTACCTACACGTGTAACTAAGCATTCCCAATGCTACAGTACTCCTTGGCACTTAGCTTGAACTGTAGATCCTAAACCCTTTTGGATTCCCCTGAATTCCTATTATAGGTACCTGAAGGGTTAACCCTTAATAGGGGTCCTAAGTGTCGCGAAGAGTATACCACAGTGGGAACATTTCAGATTAGGGTGTTTCATGTGATGCTTTCCCTAAATAAGGAGACCCCAATATTGACCCCAATATATCTTAATCGTTATTCGAATCCTTAATTATAGGGACCCACCCCCCACCCCCCAAAAAACAAGGTTAAGGTACCCCTAATTTTGGAAAACACTTAAACCCTATATTATTAGTATTCTTATTACTACTATCACTGTTGCTGCTACTCTTATTGCTACTATGGTATTGTGATTTCTATTACTATTGGTATGAGGAGATTTGCTTGTGGGAGGGTGGACAGGCTGTTTTGCTTGCCTGGCTGATGGTCGCGGTTGCTGCTTTCGTGCCTTGGAGTATTTAGGATATATAGTTTAGGGTTGGCGTCATGGGGTTAGGTTTAAGGGTTTAGGGTGGCTGAAGGACTTGGTGTGGAAAAATGAAGCTGCGTGGACTGGAATCCTTCCTTCATACAAAAGCAAGGTAATTACCCCCTTGTACCTGCCACCCTAATCACCTACAGTTCAGAAGTAATTACCCCAGGGGTAATTCGTAGGTAGAACCCACAACTGCAGGATTGTCATTTCCGTGTCTCGCAGTCAGGTTCCTCCCAAACATTGCAGGATTTAGGGTCCAGGGTTTAGGGTTTACCACTATGGGCTGTTAGACCCTAAAATTCCCTATTAGGACCATATTAAGGGTAGATTATGGTACCCTTGAGGTCTAATAGCCCATGGTGGATAGGGTACAGGAACCCCCCCCTATCGCGACCCCTAATCCAGAGACAGCCTCACAGGGCCTTCTGTAGTCAGCTACGTCCTTTCATCCCAATATGGGGGTTTCCCAAAATTAGGTGTACTATTTTGGGGTTTCCATAATAAGGACTATAGTATTTTGGCGTCTATATTGGGTTCCCCTTATTTTGGGAAACTACAATATTAAGCACCCCCCTTAAGATTCACCATAGGAGACCTTAGAAATTGGGGTCATGTTTACTGTTAGGGGTGGGGTGGGGGTAGTTGAAAAGTTCTATGAAGGGGTTACGATTCCTGCATGTCCTTTTCAAACCCGGTTTCCAAGTCATTCTCTATACTGGTTTACATGTGATTCCCATTATTCCAATGATTAGATCTTGGAAAAGGCCTGAAACACCCTAAACCCTGAACCCTAAACCAAATAATCACCTCCCCCTTCACTATATAGCCCCGGCCCCTTAGTAAACATACCCAACATAGTACCATTATTTTCAGGGAGTACGGTGGATATTAAAAATCTTCATGACCCTAAGTATATTATGTATTG